CGCAATGCCCAGGAGAGCTAAAAGTCGTAAGCGGCTTGATAGATAGATAGATAGATAGATAGATAGATAGATAGATAGATAGATAGATAGATAGATAGATAGATAGATAGATAGATAGATAGATAGATAGATAGATAGATAGATAGATAGATAGATAGATAGATAGATACGCTCAAAGTAGCCGAAGTTCACTAAGAAATGCTTCCCGTTTAAAAGTGCTCAAGGTCACGGGGCTCGCGTGACGTTTCTCTGTGACACTGCCATCCCTCTCTGCTTAGCTTCCAGCGCTTTCGTCGGGACGAGAGACGAGATAATGTGAATGCAGGGTGTGACAAATCTTTGTAACTTCACTCGTACTTGACCGATTCTTAAAATTTTTACGGCGTTGAATTCGTGAGGCGATATGCACTTCCAGTGAATTCATTCCATGGTTACTTCAAGAAGTGTTTCAGGGCCCCTTCAAAGAGAGGACAGGACGATGTGAGAGCCATGCATTGTATTATATAGCAAAGGGGGTGGGACAGGTGAGGGGAAGAGGCAGAGTGAAGCATGACGTAGACTTGTATAGTATAGTTTAGGAAAGGTATCGGTATTGGGAGATAATTGAGCTGTTTACCATTGTAGACGACATGTGCCAAACGTTTCAAACCCTAGTGAAGTTATTTTCCAACTGACTGAAACATCACGAGGGTGGTTCCTCTTCACAAGTCTAGTAACAAGCACTCGCCAATAAACTACCGCCCCCTTTCCCTTACCTTACTAGTATTCTATGTAAATTCATAGAGCGTATTTTACTATCGAATCTTGTATCTTTTCTTTAATCAAATTACTTTATTCTTCCTCTTTGCAACAAGGTTTCCACAAGACATTCCTGTGCGAAACACCACTTGTATGTTTTACCAATCATCTTCCAGTCCATGATTGTTCATCTCCGACTGTATATCTTTCGATTTTTCGAAAGCCTTCGACAAAATGTCTCATAACGTGCACTTCTATAAGTTACAGTTGCTAAATTTGGATTCTAAACTTCTTGCATGGCTCGAATGTCTTAGGGGTGAAACTCCTTAGGCCATGGGTTGTACGCCCAGTGTTTATGCCGTAGCCACCTCTCTTTAGTCCTTGGAATATCTGCTGGGTGGTGGTACTTGTATATGATGAATATATGATGAAAAGATACGAGATGGTGGTACTTCGAGTGTTCACTAGATGGACGGACGGACGGATGGACAGACGGACGGACGCTTCGCTTCCCTCATAATCATTTACTCCATGGATGTGCCACAAGGATCGGTACTCGGTCCTCTCCTCGTTTTAGTCAACGGTAAGGTTTTACCTTCTTGTGTCTCGTCCCACATTAATTTGTTCGCAGATGGCTGTGTATAATTTCGAGAAATAACCAGCCTTCACGACTTCACTATCTCACCATCATATTCGTACGCTCTTGTCTCTATGGTGCAAAAATTGGTGCATGAAATTAAACACTAACAAAATTACCACATATCGACGAATTGCATATCCGTATTGGTGGCATCTACAATGAAAGAGCAGATGCCCTGTAGCCAACGAAGCACTTTCAAGACAACCGACAGTGATAGCTCTTGTGAATCAGTACTGAGCTACAAGAAGAGACAATCTGACGTTTAACGCTCTTTATGGAATTGACAACAGGGCATGGTCACGCAACGCTTCTGCATAGAGCAAGAACACGATAGGCCTTCACTCTCGTGCGGTTGTTTAAAGCGGGGATCGGCACCTTACGGCCTGCGGGCTGAGTGCGGCCCGCGTGGCAGTGTTATGCAGCGCTTGGCACGACATCAAGCCCTCCTCCATCTTACCCTTGCCACTTGCCATCTGAAGGTGGACGCGGCAGTTTTGACCCGATTTTCGGTTTCAACATACTTCACAATGTAACTTTGTGACGCGCGTGCTGACATTGAAAACGATTTTTAATCCAGTTACACAATATAGTGCCGATTTGCCGAATTTTTACGAGTTGTATGCAAAGGCTATCGCACCTTCCCGTCCCAATTTTTTGTACGGCCCCTTGCTGTGTCGGCTTTGTGCAACTTGGCTCTCCTCCGGAAAACGTTGCTGACTCCTGGTTCAAAATAAAAGGTGCTCCATCCCCTTTATGCACTTAGTGCAATGAAGTTGGGTATATACATCACTACACCTGGTCCGGTGAGCGCTCTTGCTCCGAAAAGGATTGAATACAATGGGCACAGTGGTAAAAAGAGAGACCCCCTTCCCCCCGAATGCTGTGAAGAGATTGTGTATCCCGAATGCGTGGTTGATGCGAAAAGAAGGGGCTACTATACGCTTACGTTTTCTACGAGAGACAGGTTTAAGGTATGCATGAGGAGACGTACCACATGGAAAGAGACGCTCTGGCGGAACATTTGACAGCCAGCCTCCGCTACGACGTTCCTCACAATCATATCGTAGTTTCGAGGCTCAACACCAAGTTCATTAAAATATTACGCCCGACACCATCAAGAGGACACCGCAGGAAATGGGTGCGAACAAGCTCCAGCTGTCAAGGCCTGCACTGCACAACCATCTTGATAGAATTCTAGCCGGCAGGAAATGTGTGGTGATATCACCACCACCCCCACCACCCCCACCACCACCACCACCACCACCACCACCACCACCACCACCACCACCACCACCACCACCACCACCACCACCACCACCACCACGATCTGTACGATGCGTCGCGTTTCCATATCTGTGCCTTGAACATTGTTGTATCTGTGCTTTTTGGTTTCGTCAAAAAGTAAATAAAAACTAAACTGAACATCACATTAGGGTCGTGATGATGGCTTCACATGAATTGCTTGTTCGGACATCATGCTCACTGCGAAGAGACCAGATTATCGAGAGTACATTGTCGCATAGGAAACTGAACGTAATACCTGACAAGATGCACTTACCTTTATGACGTGTGGAAGTCGTTCTGAGAGAGCCTTAATTTAAGGCTGCCCTCGAAACATCTGCCTGTTTCATAATCTCTTTTTACCTTGTTTCTGGGATGATGGCACATAAATAAAATAATCACAGCATATCCACGGACTGATGATCAGTGCATGGGCGAAGCGTAGATCTGTTCGCTCGTGCATTCATCCGTCCGTCCAACCGTGGGTCGATCTGTCCGTCCGCGCGTCTGTCCGTCCGTCTTTCTACATGTCCGTCCATCTAGTGAACACTCCAAGTACCGCTATCTCGCATCTTTTCACCATATATTGATTATATACAAGTACTGCCATCTAGTGGAAATTCCAAGAACTAAACTCTCCTGTATCAGAGAGGTGGTTACCACAGAGGATGATCGGGTGAGGCCTTAAGGAGCTTCGCCCCTAAAAAAAGTAACACGGTAATTAAGACTTCTAACAAACGCCAGCGTGGTCCTCAAGTGATACTGTGGCGCCCAGCGTGCATATAAGGTGCGGAATATTGCAAGTCCACCAATAGAATATTATCTACGCCGCATCTTATAGCATGGCCAGGTTTCACTACCTTCAAGAACGACACCAAGATTGATGCTCACGCATAGATGTGGGGTGACTGCGACTTAAAGCACTTCCAATAAACGTATGGTTGATGATAGAGATAGAGAGAGAAATGAAGGCCGGGAGGTTAACCAGATAGTTGATCAAGTTTTAACAATGTCTACCGTCTCGCAGTTGAAACAGTGGATCACCTCTAGACATAGTGACTGTCTTGTATTCTGGGCCGTACAGTTTTTCAATGAAGCATTTTTCTATCAAGAATTATGAGATATTTTTATATTTTTCATCTTTACCATCATTGTGGATAGTGTGCTTTTGGAATCATTTTTCGTGGCCATCGGAAAACAGTTTTATCCCTGCATCGGTGCATATTGTTTTGAATGTGCGCTCAGATTTTTAAGAGAGATATGTTCTACATATAGCACGCTTGTTATGTTTGGACAATGCTTCCAGTCACCCACAACCAAAAGTTACGGTCCTCGACTGCTGACCCAAAGGTCACGGGTTTGAATCCAGTCGTGGCAGACGAATTCTGATGAAGGTGAAATTGTCGAGGCATATGTCAAATGATGGGCTATTCACCTCTCGTATTGTTTTCAGAACTCGTGATGTTGTAGTTCGTCTTTCGTCCCATCTTTCGCGCTGATTTATTTCGCAAATATTCACAAAAGCCTGTCTTTGGTCTCCGGTTGTGCCTCCCCGCCCCTCTGCCACGGCTCCAACCATGCGCTCGCCTATGAGCATGAGAGCCCATTTCTCCCCTTGTTCTGCAGGCCATGTGGGAAGCTAGGCTTTCTCCGCTTGAAACCAGACAAGCATACATCCGTTTATTCCACGCGACCATCAACTCCAGGGTGTTTTCACATCCTCCAGTCGCATCACGCGAGCATTACACCATAAATGTCGCCATTTAGAGAACCCCGCAGAGGTGTACACGTTTTCGCGCGCTGCGAGCTAAAGACAGGGAGAGAGAGAGAGAGTCAAATGGTTTCAGTGTTTCACCGCTAGGACACTTGACAACATGCCATGGCATCGGTCGACTAGTTGCGGCTGTCGTGCCGCAGGTGTGAATTTGGTGTCGCGAACGCTATCCTCTACAGCTCCCGGGACAAACAGGTGATTAAAAGGCGGGCTTCCGCCTGTTGTGAACCCCGCAGGAGGGTCATAAAAGCTGACATTTCTATCTGATAACAAAACCGAGGCTTTCCCTCCTCTCCCTCCCCCCTGCTTGTCCAGCATCTAGCAACTTCTGGTTATACCATTGGCCCAAGCAGTTGTTTCGGAATATTTTCACCTTTTGTCCATGGCGGCCATAAAAGAAAGGTGAGCGAAGCAGCGAGCGGTTGCGCGAATTAAGCGTACTGGACGAAGGGAAGAGGGGAACTCGCATGCAGATAGATAAGAGCCTTTATGAGTTAGGATAAGGTACGGGCATGCGATAACGTACAATTCCCAGAGCGCTGCAATCGGCTCCGTCCTCGTTAGCAGACGACGTGCCGCGACCCCTTGTTTCTGCAGCTGCCGTCTGCTCTCACTTGTCTGACAACGCGAGCGCTCCAGACAGCAGTCAATTCTTCTTTGTCAGTAGGCGCCGAAGGCGGGCTGTTCCACAAAGGAAACAAAACAGATTAGTGCGTTATCGAGAGCGCTGTGTAATCGCAGTTTAGTTCCTCCTCGCGCGATTTTTTCTTTGCGGAGGAGGTGCTTGGAGGCTTTGTGAAATCTCCATTAGAGGGTTCAGTCGGTTCGAACAATTTGTCCGTTCGTGAGTTCGGTTATTCGTCGTCACTGTCAGTTGAACCGGAGTGGCCGTTCTTGTTTTCTAAACGGCGTTCGTCTGTTTCATTTCGTTCGCGTCGTCTGCTGTGACCTGCTAGGCCTACTAGTTGTCCAGAACTTTCAGGAGACCTCGGACCCTCAAACTTCGACGCTACAAGAGGTTTCTGTCACAAGGCCTGCACCCCGTATCGGGGATCTTGTCAAGACGTCGCCCTCTGGCCAGTTCCAGAACCTCAGGACCCATGGCTTTGGACTTTGCAGCAGGATGCTTAGGAGGTGAGCCTATGTGCAGCAACGTCTGCTATACGATATCGTATAAAGGTTGGGGGCGTTTGGCGTCGTACTGGCACGTAGCGCGTGTTGTGAGGTGTTTTGCCCTCCTCTTTGCCTATCTTAAGGAATTTTTGTATCAATACGTGGGGTGGAGGCAGATGCTGGTACACCAATGTTACTGGTGTGTAGTAATTATTGTGTGTGCGTCAATCATTGCGTGAATAATGACAAAGTATACTAGTGAACCACACACGCTGGTGACTGTGAACATTGTTTATACCTCAGTACTATTTCGAGTACAATGCATGACACGTGGTTCAGTGAACTTGAAAAACGCAAAAACGACGAAAACCATCCATGGGAAATTTATTAAAAGTATCTTTCTAAGCGTTGGTAGTTATGATAAAGTTTAACTGCCGGGAAGTACTTCGTACTCGCTCGACCAAGGTATAGCACATTCAAGTTTTCCAACTGGTTATCTCGCATTGCTTATCGCATTTGAGTTCATGTCGTGATCGCACGGTATGTACGTCACGTTTAGGTATTTAAATGCCCGATGTTGTAGCATTCCTTTTGAACTTAGCACATTTCAGCTACCATTTCAATTACCAAGAAAAGTGTCTTTTTTGTCAATCAGCCCATCAGCGCGCACATAGGTGACATTTCCAAAACATAACACGCCAGCTATTGAGATGTGTTGCAGTGCGTTTCTAAACACCAGATAAAAACTGCAATACATTTCTGGTAAAATGTTTATCAGGGCGCGGCGCCTTGCACGATTTGGGGTCTGCATAGCACGTTTTTTGTCGCACAGCGGCGACAAGTCGAACCGCTATGTGCTACCTGATAACGTTAATCTTTGTGTAGGTGACACGAACATAACAAATACAGAAGATTACGCAAATAAATGATAGCAGACATATGAAACCAACGGATGCTTGGGTAGTGTTCGCATTTCTAGGGGGGGGGGGGGGGATATGTTTGTGTCCTTCGCTGATTGCTCGCTAGAAGCATGCGCTTTGACCACAGTGTAAGAATATTTCTCTGGCTCGTGACTTCACGGTGAAAACCATACGATGAAAGGGGCAATGCGAGCGCAGTTTGGCATCTGAAAGAATCCAGTGACACACCATCCTTCTAAGCTCAATAAATCCGAAAACAAATTTGGTCATATGAGCTACAACAAATGGAAAGCTTTCAATCCTGATCACAGGTCGGCAAAACTTGTGGAGCTCACTCAGAATCACTCACGAAATGTATTTTAAGCTTTGAATTCACTCGGACTTAGGCTCACGAAAATTTTCTTTATTCGGACTGACTCGGGCTCCAACTCACCAAAACATTACTCACCCGGACTCACTCAGACTCAGACTCACGGCTCGATCTGAGTCTGAGTGGGTCCGGGTGAGTGGACTCGTTATTACGTAAGCCAATAATTACAAAAAAATTCATTCGAGCGCGAACACACGTCATATTCACGCACACACACACACCCAGGCATCAAAAACGCACAACGATCGGCGTGTTTGATGCCCGGGGTGTGTGTGTGTGTGTGTGTGTGTTTGTGTGTGTGTGTGTGTGTGTGTGTGTGTGTGTGTGTGTGTGTGTGTGTGTGTGTGTGTGTGTGTGTGTGTGTGTGTGTGACTGTGTCGCGTGTTCACGCTCAAATTGATTTATTCAAGTGTTGTACCAACTAGCTCAACAAGAAGTTCTTCCACAAGCCGAAAAGTAGCTTCTTCGATCATGATGTCAATGCTCTGTTGCACCAATATCTCTCGTAAGCGGTGCTCTTTTTGGTTTCGTTTGGCATATAATTTTCCAACGAGACTACTCAGAGCATCCGAACCGGTAAGGTCATTTTTCTTGAAAGAGATGACATCGTGAGATATAATAATGAAGAAATTTCCTAAAGGAGTAGGTGGGGGCACGTAAAGGCACCCCCCCTACGTAATCCATGCATTTAAATAATAAATATTGAAAAGGTGTGAGAAGAACACTGCTGTGGAATACCTGTAAGTAGGCGTCAGTATAAACGTGAATTCAGGTAAGGATGATAGGAGGGCTGGAGATCACTGGATAGACTCTATTCAGTGACTTTAAGAAAGTGAAACTCAATCAGACTCACTCAAGAAATGCATTTTGCGCTTTGGACTCACTCGAACTCACAGTCACCAAACTTTTTTCTGAGCAGAACTCACTCGGACTCACACTCATCAGAATTTTCTTCAACCGAACTCACTCAGGCTCAGACTCATGGTTTTATCGCCTCATGAGTGAGTTCACCGACCTATGCTTCTGACACGAAAAGGCGATTATACAAAAATTTTAATTTCTTTTTTTTTGTTCGGACAAAAGGTCGAAGGGTTTAGAAAAAGTACATGTAAGTGCGAGTGCGTCCCGAAGTTATTAATGGCATGTATGTTCAAAAACTGGCTTCTGTTCATAATGGACCCTGACGTCACGTCACGGTATGAGACTCTGGTCACGTCCGTGCACAAGATGGACTCCGTGCGCAGGATGGGCTCCGTGCACAAGAGGGTTTCCGTGCACAAGATGGACTCCGTGCATAAGATGGACTCCGTGCACAAGATTGAATTCGCGCACAAGATGTACTCAGAGGCTTAGAAGGTGGCGCGCAAGGCACCATTTGCATATTTAGATTCCTGACGTCATCACAGCTATAGTCATACAATTGCATGAAATCACCACAATTGATACTCCAGCCCGACTTCATGCCCGTGTTGATGCCAGTAGGTGCACCGTGAGAAATTTTATTTTAATATCAAGCTAAAATAGCCTGCCAGCATTTTTAAGCATCGAACTTGCTCAGAGCTGTCCCTACTGAAGATCTATCTGGCGGACTTGAGTGAGATTAGAAAATAGGGGTCAGTATGCAGATGAAGTATGTTGTAACCAATTCAATCCTGGCGCTTTGCGCATGCAGTGTAGGCCTCGTTGGGAAGCCCCAGTGTCTACACCTCTATTTTTAATAGCGTATATTGTTTACCAGAAGCGTCAAATCTTGAAAGTCTCAAGTACGACAGACAAAATAGAACTGACAGAGCTTTCGAAGTTGATTAATAGGCGTAAGGTATCCGATGTAAGAAGGTATAACATGGAGAGAATTGAACACGCTCTGAAAAACGGAGGAAGCGTCAAAGCAGTGAAGAGGAAACTTGGGATAGGCAAAAACCGGATGTATGCACTAAGTGACAAAGAAGGCAAAATAACTACCAATATGGATAGGATAGTTAAAAAAGCAGAGGAGTTTTACAGAGATATGTACAGTAGCCGGGACAACCACGACTTTAATACTATAAGAACTAGCAGTAACCCAGACGACACACCACCAGTAATGATAGAAGAAGTCAGAAAGGCTTTGCAGAGCATGCAAAGAGGCAAAGCTGCTGGTGAGGATCAGGTAACATCACATCTGCTGAAAGATGGAGGACAGATTGTGTTAGGAAAACTAGCCACCCTGTTTACGAGGTGTCTCCTGACGGGAAGAGTAGAGTCTTGGAAGAACGCTAACATCATCTTAATACATAAGAAAGGAGATGACAAGGACTTGAAGAATTACAGACCCATTAGCTTGCTCACTGTAGTATACAAGCTATTTACAAAGGTAATTGCTAACAGAGTAAAGAAAACATTAGAATTAAATCAACCAAAGGAACAAGCAGGATTTCGAACAGGCTACTCAACAATCGACCACATTCATACTATCAATCAGGTAATATAGAAATGCTCAGAATATAACCAACCACTATACATAGCCTTCATAGATTACGAGAACGCGTTTGACTCAGTAGAAATATCAGCCGTCATGCAGACACTGCTGAATCAGGGCGTCGATGAAGTATATATAAACATCCTGGAAGAAGTCTACAAAGGATCAACTGCTACCATAGTGCTTCATAAAGAAAGCAACAGGATAACAATCAAGAAGGGTGTAAGGCAGGGACACACAATCTCCCCAATGCTATTTACCGCGTGCTTGCAAAAAGTTTTCAGAAGCCTAGAATTGGAACAGTTTGGGATAAGAATTAATGGAGAGTACCTTAGTAACCTACGCTTCGCCGATGGCATTGCATTGCCGAGTAACTCAGGGGACGAATTGCAACTCATGATTACGGAGTTAGACAAGGCGAGCAGAAAGGTGGGTCTTAAAATGAATCTGCAGAAAACGAAAGTAATGTACAACAACCTCGGAAAAGAGCAGCGCTTCGAGATAGGTAATAGTGCACTTCAAGTTGTAAAAGACTATGTCTACTTAGGGCAGGTAATAACCGCGGAGCCGAACCACGAGATTGAAGTAACTAGAAGAACAAGAATGGGGTGGAGCACATTTGGCAATCACTCTCAAATTATGACAGGTAGATTGCTACTATCCCTCAAGAGGAAGGTATATAACAGCTGTATCTTGCCGGTACTTAGCTACGGAGCAGAAACCTGGAGACTTACAAAGAGGGTTCAGCTTATATTGAGGACGACGCAGCGAGCAAAGGAAAGAAAAATGGTAGGTGTAACCTTAAGAGACAAGAAGAGAGCAGAGTGGATTAGGGAACAAACGGGGGTTAAGGATATCATAGCTGAAATGAAGAAGAAGAAATGGACATGGGCCGGGCATGTAGCGCGTAGACAGGATAACAGCTGGTCGTTAAGGGTAACTAACTGGATTTCCAGAGAAGGCAAGTGGGTTAGGGGGAGACAGAAGGTTAGGTGGGCAGATGAGATTAAGAAGTTTGCGGGTATAAATTGGCAGCAGCAAGCACAGGACCGGGTTAACTGGCGGAACATGGGAGAGGCCTTTGTCCTGCAGTGGACGTAGTCAGGCTGATGATGATGATGATGATGATGATGATGATGATGATAACATTGTTTACCAACGGAAGGGTTTTTCTGCGATACTTGTGTAATAATGTTTCCTTTCCGCTATTACGTTCCGTTGTTCTCTTCTATGCATTATGTACACTATGTGCTTTTGTTTAACCGCTATGAAG